AACAACTCAACAGTTAATAATTGTTCCATTTAATCCTGACCATTTCGCGATATTTTGCGGAAGAATCTGTCAGTTCTTTCTAAACCTTTGATTAAACAAAAGGATTATGGAAGTATAAAACTTACCATATTAAGAAGCCGGAGAGCAGCAGGCCTAGTGAATTTCCTTGCAAAAAGGAAGCATAGAGAGGGTTCTCCCTTGCTAGGGCACCATTCTCTTCGGTATTCAGTCCATAGTATATATTATCTATATCCTGCCATGTCATCAAAATTTGTTACAGACCAATGCAAGATTAGTTGAAGAGGGAGCTTCATGGAATGGTTTATTTATTATTAACATCCCAATTTGGATAAATGTAGAATTTTCTAAGCTTGAGCTATTTACAGTAACAATTCTAGGGACATACCAATGCAGCCTCAAAGACAAACATTACATGGGGAAGCGAAGACCTATGGAGGCATTGTTCTAAAAAATGTACCAAATGAGAGCTGACATGCACATACCTTGATAGATTGAATCAGCGTGGGAGTAGCTTCTGGCTAACTTGTATGTCACGGGATGCCATCCCCGTCGTTCATGATCTTTGGAGGATGAAAGATCCCATGATTTGTGAGTCAGCGTCCTCCGTGTGATCTCCCCATCAAGTGCTTCTTTCTAAATGTTGAAGAAAGAGCCTTAGGAGAATTACATAAAAACTAATAATCTTTTAAGAAGATAAGCGAAAGGTATAAGTGAAAATGGCACAACCCAAAACTTAACAGTAGATATATTGCTGTTTTTCTTCTCAAGAGCTTTACATTCCATACTGATCTTAATTATTTCTTTCAAACAACTTTGCTTTAAGTTTTTGTGTCGGTTAGGTACATAAATAAAAAATCATAAGACATCAATCAACATGTATAAGGCTGGTCAGGGTGAAGTCCAAACATATGCTTTCTCACAATATTGCCCCTTTCAAACCCAAAAATTAACAAACATAATTTTAATCAACTAACTCAGAAAATGATTACATACAAACCAGTATTAGCTAGTATGATTAATACAACTATCTGTATAAGCCCCAACCAGAATATTGTGCTGCCCAACCCAGGGCATTGCGATACCAGCACGGACTGACATGTTTACACTTCACTTGACTGAAAATAATTTGTGTGCTGACAAACACGTTTTATGTAGAAAATTTAGACGATAAGAATAAAATTGATTAAGATACAACTCAATACAGAACTAAATTTCACAAAGGTGTGGAGAAAAATAGTGTCCAAATATCATATAAATGTTGTGATCTGAAACCAAGAGAAAGAAGCATGCTTGAAGAGTACAATGTTATTTTGAAATCCACAATGCCATAAAACCTTCTTGGAGAACAATATGTATGCAGTTATTCTTCTCCTAGACAAGGGTCAGCACAGTTGAATGGAAGATCAACTTACAGCCAATAATGTCTAAACATAATGTTCATCTGGTATACAGTTATGCTCCTTGGACACATCAGCAGGCTGCACATTACAAGTAGCTCTTAAAATCAAGAGTGAAAATTCTCTTAATAACTTTTCCAACTAATTGTCTTTCAGATATGTTGGCTATCACGTCAAGACCAGATGCTATATATAAACTAATCTTGTATTGAAAATATACTACATTGGAAAAATGGAATAAGAAAATGAAAAAAGAAAAAGAAAAAAAAGCACTCACAAGGGGATGATCTCGGCAAAACTCAGGTAGTGGCCTCCTCTGCATAATTATCCAAAATGCAAGGTAAGTTGCAAAACAATAGGTCTTCAGCAAACAAACAATTCCAAACACTGCTGGAAAAATGACTTTTAGCGGCGTTTTAAAAACGCCGCTATATGTATGAAAAACGCCGCTAATTCCTTTAGTGACGTTTATCACCAAACGTCGAGGACGCGGCCGTCGCTATAAGTTTATGACGCTTTAAAAACGCCGCTAAATGCGATAAATAATGATAAAATGACGTCATCCAATATTTAGCGATGTTTTTAAAACGCCGTGATAGATTTTTTTATTTTAAAAAAAACGTCCGTTGGCACTGTAGTGGCGTTTTGAAAAAACGCCGTTATAGCCCTTTTTAAAAAAAAATTGTTGTTATATTTAACTAAAAAACATACCTGTAATAAAGCTGAAAAATAACAATAATATGAATAAAATTTTACAGCTACTTCAATATATTGACTAAATAAACATTACATGATTGTGTCTAAACCAAAATCAAACAACAAACACAATCAAAAAATAAAAAGAAAAAATAGGTTAAGTCATTTGCTTGCACATGCAGATGCAATGGAATAGTCAAGCATATTACACATCATTACACTGCAGAATAGGGATTCGTATTCAATTAATCATAATAGGTTCATGTACAACAAAAGACAATTTTGAGCAGGATACATTCCCAAATCCCAGTCAACACAAAGGAATGCAGAGAGCCCGGTGAACAAACAATTTATGCTACTTCAATATATTGACTAAATAAACATTACATGTTTGATGGTTTCCATAACGATTCCCCTTGCAGTAGAAATTTTCTTCCTCCTCTTGATGATTTCAATCGAACAAACAATTTCCCAAATATCCCATTAAACAACTTCCCACATTATCATCTAGCTTTGAGTCAATCAAAAGAACAAAACTAGAGTAATGCACACCAGGTATATTACAAGTAAAATGTATTCTATAAGCTTGAAAAACAGTGCCATCGGGTTTTAATCCCCATGTTCCAGAGAGTGCATGGACACAGGTTGTCCCATGCAATTCCTTCCTTTTTGTTGTTCCTAAAGACAACACAAAGAAACACAAAATAGCTTTAACACACAAGATGATAAACATATTAGCAAAGATAGATAACTAAAAGCTCAACAGCCCAGCCTAAGCGTACATATGGGCTATCATCCAAGGTGCAATTTTTTTAAAAACCAGTAAACACCCTGCAAACAGCATTGAAATTGAGAAGAAAACCAAAACAAACTGAATGGTGTAACAACTTGCAAAGGCATCAACCATTACTAATGCTATCTACTCTAGGGTATGGAGGATGTAGCATCAACGCTTTATCATGTCTGTACATATACTAGCAAGTACAAGCAGATGGAGGTGTAGTTGAACTTTATTGTTTTGAATTGAAATGCTAGCTAACAGTTTGCTAACCAGCACTAACATCTCACTAGATTTTTCTATTACTGCTCAACTATCTACTAGAGTCAGATTTTGACATACTAGTGCATGTCAGTGCTCGATTTTACAAGCCATGTCATTAGTGGTGGATATGTAAAATGAAGTGATATGTGATGCACATTTACCTATAATAAAACTAACACATATAAAATATTAACTCCCATTCAAACACCTGTAATGAAACTAACATATAAAATAATAACTCCTATTCAAATAACAAATGAAGCATTAATTCAATTTCTCATTCAATTAATATTCAATCACCATTACCCACAAAATAACATATATCCAAAAATCATATTTTAACATTAATCACAAACTAACATATATCTAAAAATCACAGCGCACCAAAAGATTCTTTCCCAGTAGAATATTGCCAATGTTTTCTATTTCTAGGTTCTTATCTGATTCTAGTATGTCTTTAGAATATGATGAATACAAAATCACAATCCATTCCAAGATATTAATACATAGCTGGAAGTACATCCTTCTTTTCCTCTGAAATATTCCACCTTCTCAGCAAACAACTGAAATACATCCTTCTTGGCAGCTTGTTTCTGACATTATGATAAAAAATTAGAAAACAAAACAATAACTCATAACTCAAATTATTCATGATCTATGATAATAGAAGGTACCAAATCAGCCAAAATAAAACATTCTCTAACAAACAGTTCAGCACATTCACTAGACATACATGATACACCAGTGTCAAGCATGAATGCGTTGTGACAAACTATTTTTTAGTCACATAGGAGGAAACAATCAAAATTAAGATAGGTGCATCTAGCAGTGGACACAATCAAAATTAAGATAGGTGCATCTAGCAGTGGACACAATCAAAATTAAGATAGGTGCATCTAGCAGTGGACACAATCAAAATTAAGATAGGTGCATCTAGCAGTGGACACAATCAAAATTAAGATAGGTGCATCTAGCAGTGGACACAATCAAAATTAAGATAGGTGCATCTAGCAGTGGACACAATCAAAATTAAGATAGGTGCATCTAGCAGTGGACACAATCAAAATTAAGATAGGTGCATCTAGCAGTGGACACAATCAAAATTAAGATAGGTGCATCTAGCAGTGGACACAATCAAAATTAAGATAGGTGCATCTAGCAGTGGACACAATCAAAATTAAGATAGGTGCATCTAGCAGTGGACACAATCAAAATTAAGATAGGTGCATCTAGCAGTGGACACAATCAAAATTAAGATAGGTGCATCTAGCAGTGGACACAATCAAAATTAAGATAGGTGCATCTAGCAGTGGACACAATCAAAATTAAGATAGGTGCATCTAGCAGTGGACACAATCAAAATTAAGATAGGTGCATCTAGCAGTGGACACAATCAAAATTAAGATAGGTGCATCTAGCAGTGGACACAATCAAAATTAAGATAGGTGCATCTAGCAGTGGACACAATCAAAATTAAGATAGGTGCATCTAGCAGTGGACACAATCAAAATTAAGATAGGTGCATCTAGCAGTGGACACAATCAAAATTAAGATAGGTGCATCTAGCAGTGGACACAATCAAAATTAAGATAGGTGCATCTAGCAGTGGACACAATCAAAATTAAGATAGGTGCATCTAGCAGTGGACACAATCAAAATTAAGATAGGTGCATCTAGCAGTGGACACAATCAAAATTAAGATAGGTGCATCTAGCAGTGGACACAATCAAAATTAAGATAGGTGCATCTACCAATGGATGCTATCAGAATTCAGAATACTTCACTGAAGGGAAGGAAAAAAAAACTAAAATAATAAAAGAATAATAATAATACTTGACCATGCTGTCCTGGAACAAAAGCACCTGATTTAGAAGAAGATGATAAATTGTATGAGGACTTCAATATGGATGAAGTTGACTTGAATATTTAGAACTATGAAGAAATATTTGGTGTAGCTCTTAATGATCCAGAACAACTGTTTGGTAATGATGGAATTGGTAGCTTGTTTGGAGTGAAGGACATATCCGGTGCTGATTTGAACTGTTAAGGCACATATGCAGCTGAGGTACTTTTGCTTTCTCTTATGTTGCTTAATCTTATCCTTATTATTCTCATCAGCTGTAATCCAAATATTCTAGTTTCTTTGCCATATCTTGCTGTCCTTGTATACTTTTCCAACTTAAATTTATCCATATTTTTCTGCTTGAGTCTCCTTTAGGTTTTTGGTTCCTTATTGTAATATTTAGATGGGTTCTTTACGGATCTGTCAGTTATGGGAATTCAGATGGAAGTGATAATGTAGTTTAATAGGCTTCCTTGACTCTTTCTTGTGGGGGAAAGGTCCCTCTCTCTCACAAAAGAAAATTATATTCGAAAACTTGCCAAGGGAGCACCACCTTCATACAATCAAACAAAAGAGGTAGAAAACAAGAATAAAAGCGTAAAAAAAATAAACTCCAAACCCAAAAAGATCTGCTTCAAATTTTTGGTATGCTTCAATATATGCCCACTTCACTGGAAAATGTCTTTCTCATTCTCTTTTCAATCTTGGTTAAATAAAGGCCTTTCTCAGCTTTTGACATTGATTTCCTTTTGTTTCCATCGACCTTTCAAACAACAACATCAATTATTGTTGTTGTTGTTCTTCTTCTTCAGTTTATTAGTTCTATATATGTTCATTCAACATTAGCACGTATCTGCGAACTGTCCCATTTATGGTGATATATTTTTGAGTACTTTGTCCATATTACTTCAGTATAGACAGTGTTGTGCATTTAATTTATGAGTTCTGTGTTATGAATTCAGTTGTAGTTAAACTGGTGCTGTAGCACAGCTGCTTACTCTTAGAAAAATTCCTGACTCAAATTCTTAAAATTTCTGTTGCAGGGTGTTCTTTACGCAATTAGCATCATTGATTTGTCCAGCTGAATTAGAAGATAATCGAGTCCGAGTAATTTTTCAATATTCTTGGAGCTTATTATTTGTCAATTAATGTGCTCTTTGTATCCATTTTTGTTTTGGCATCCAAGTTAGTCAACTAATATATTGATGTATATTTTTGCAAGTAGTGTTGAGGGAATAGTTTGTATGATTGAGTGGGTGATATTGAGAGCTAAACTGAGATTTTTTTTTTGAGGACTTGAATATATTAGTATTTTGTATAAATACTTTTAAGGATAGTTGATGGATATTTATTTTGCATGTATAGAAGTCTATATTTTGTATGCACATTTTTTTTTTTTTTGAAGAAAGATAATTTTGTTGAGCTAAGTGATGGAAAATAATACATGAGTATTAGAATTTTTACAAATGTCACTTTACATTTATTATATATAATAAGTTGAATATATATATATATATAGTAGAATATAGGTTGCTAAAATATTGTAGCATTTTTTTTTTATTTTTTTGCGACAGTAACAAGATGGTCGCTAATACATTATGGGTATTTTTTTTTTTTGCGACGGCAAAATATTAGTCGCCATAAGTAGATTAGGCGGTCGCAAATAGTTTGCGACTGTTATTTTACGGTCGCAAAAAGTATTTGCCACCCCCACATTCGCGACCCCCATTTGCCGTCGCATGGGCCGTCGCAAAAAACTTTTTGCGACTGTATTTTTATTTTTTGCAACAGCATGTAGTGGTATAATACTTGGACATTAGTATGATTTCATAGAGAAACTGATAGAAATCTTCTATAAGTATGTTTATAGTATTATTAGAGTCTTATTTTATTATTATTTTTATATTTTCTAGGATTTTTAATGTTAGGGATATTTTGATAATTTTATATTTGCTGACATGGGTCGCCCATAGGTCGTCTTATGGGTCAAGTTATTAATTAAGTTTACTTATGTTTCTTATTTGGACTTAAATTAATTTTGGAAATCTAAGATATTATAATAGTTTCCTTTTTAAGTTCTAGTTGGTTTAGGAAGTCTCCTAATCCTGCAAGAAGCTTGTAATGCTTCTAATTGGGAGAGTTGATATTTATAAAAAGTTGAGAATTTTGAAGCTTCTTTATGGATTGTGTGATGCAATCAAACCCTAAGTGTGATGCCTAAGGAATTCTAGGAGTGATTCCTAGATCTATCTGCTTCTTTTCTTTTTCTTTCTTTGTTTCTTCAATTCCTGTAGCCTATTCACAGCACTCTAAACCGCCCCTAAATAGTGTAAAATCAGCTCCAAAAGCCTACTGTTGCGGCCGTCCTTAATTGTCCTGCATCAGTTTGGTATTTGAGCTTAACGTTTCTCTACAATGTTCTTACAAAGTGAGAGATCCTATGTGCCACAATATGTTATACCCCATAACAAAGAAGTTCCAAATTTTGAAGGAAGAGATGATCATATGGTATTCTCTAATTGGCTTGTTTCAATTGAGGAATATTTTGATTCCTATGATAGGACGGATGATCGAAAAGCAAGATTTGCCAAGATGAACCTTGTAGGTTTGGCACAATTTTGGTGGCATCGTGCTGAAAAAGATATAAGAAGATTGGAATTGCCACCAATAAACACATGGCAAGAGATGAAAGCTAAGTTTCAAGAGAAGTATACCTTCAAACAATCTTGTTGAGTCATGTGAGCAACTTGTTAATTCAAGACATGGCAACACTTTCTTTGAAGAATATATGTAAAGACTTGAGGCACTTGACACACGAAATTGAGTTTTGGAAGAATCCGGTCAAAGACTTGCTTGATTTAAACTTGCATTAAGCCCTATTATTAGGCAGGAAGTGCCACATCAGTCAAGATATAGCATGGAGTATACACAAGAAGTCGTGCCAAAGTTGAAAGCTAGCGATAAAGATCAAAAGCTTGAGCAATTAAAGCTACAAGTGAAAGAGAACAATCAAACCCTGCACAAGGCGAAAGATGACCAGATTTTGAAGGATAACGAGGCTCTTATTAATGATCCAAAAGTACCCCAAGAAGATGTAGTTATTACTAGAGTCCAAAGCAAGGAATTGGAGGCTATGGAAGTTGTCGGGACTGAAGAATTGAAGCAACCAACTGCTAGTGTTGAGCAAAATATGACTTTAAAGTATATGCTGGAGTTACAAGAGGATTGCAAAATTGAATTGCAAAACAACATTTTTGTTAAGAAAAAGATTGAGAATATGAAATCCATATGTGTTGATGCAAATAGGAGCATTCAAATTGATTGTAAGCGCTATATTACAAAGCCAAAAAAGAACGGAATGGATGATGGGGCAACTCAACACTTTGATCAATTCAAGGGTTCATTTTCTACTTCAATTAATTTCGTCATTCCAAATAAATTCAGCTTTAGAGCTGAAAATACATTGTTGCTTTCATTGCTACCTCTAATGAAGAAGAAACGACGTTGCCAACCTGAACATTTTAATGTGACGCCATGGTTGCAATTTCAAAACTTGTGGATTCTTATTCTCCAACACTTTAACACTCAAGGTCGAGTTTTTTCCAACCAATGGAGAATGATGCAAAGTATGAGAAGCTCAATGAAGGCTAAATTCAGAGAAGTGATGATACTTACACATTGGCATGATTTCATAGAGGAACTGATAGAAATTTTCCATAATTATGATTCTAGTATTATTAGTCTTATTTAATTATTCTTTTTATGTTTTCTAGGATTTGTAAGGTTAGGGGTATTCTGGTAATTTTATATTTGTTGACATGGGTCGTATGGGTCTCCCATGGGTCATCTTGTGGGTCAAGTTATTTAATTGAGTTTTATTTATATTTCTTATTTGATCTTAAATTAGTTTTGGAAGTCTAAGATATTATAATAGTGTTCTTTTTTTGTTCTAGTTGGTTTAGTAAGTCTCATAATCCTATATAAAGCCTTGTAATAGTTATAATTGAGAAAGTTGATACTTTATAAAAAGTTGAGAGCTTTGAAGCTTCTTTATGAGTTGTGTGATGCAACCAAACCCTAGGTGTGATGCCTAAGGAATTCTAGGAGTGATTCCTATATCTATCTTGTTCTTTTCTTTTTCTTTCTTTCTTCAATTCTTGCAGCCTATTCACAGCACCCTAAACAGCCCTTAAACAGTGTAAAATCAGCCCCAAAAGCCTACTGTTGTGGCTGTCCCTAATCATCCTGCAATAGGGCCCTAAGGATTTAAGATTTTCAATTCTTTTACATGTAACTCATCATAAATTCATAATTGGACAAGCATCTGTTCATTCATGAATTAAGAGCAGCAACTCTTTTAACTTGTAATGCTTATAGCTCAGGCAGAATTTCGGATACACAGTACTCAGAAGACACTGGCGCAAATTCAGATGAGCATGGTTGCTAAGATAAAATACCAAGGACGTTGATATCAAGTTTCAAACTGAATCCTCATTCACCATGTGTTGGGGTGACAAGCAAGAGCTTCTAGCCAGTAATTGTAGTCGAATGAGGAGTGGGCACTTATTCTGATATAATGTTCTGATGAAGATGTATTCAATCAAACAAAATTCCACACTTTCAGGCTTTCAGCACAGTGTAAAAACACACACAGCTCTAGAAAAGAACTCTAATTTCCAAGTGTCAAACAATTCTACAACATAGTTTGCATTCAACTTGCCTTGCAATGCCATTGAAATATAGGAAAGACTATTGTGGGTGTTGATTTCCGACCATACAACCAGAATGAGAACTCAGCTGGAGAGCACTAGTAGAATAGATTAAGCCCGAACAATCTATCACAGAAAGATAAGAATCCGGCGGTGGTTCGTCCACCCAGGGGCACTCCGACGCTCAAGTCAGTAATCAAATATCTCTCAAAGATAACCAATAGTGCTTAACCCAGCAGACAAAACATAAAAAACATACCTTAGACCCATGGGGGTGCCTCACTTTTATAGTGGTCAGTGTCCAACTTCCCCTAGAAGTCTTATTTCAAGGGACTCTATCCTTTACAAAGATAACATCTATCACAACTCACACTATTTAGATTAAGATGAACTTTATCAAGAGTCCCATCTCTATCCAAATATGTAGTTTGATGTCATCTAGGACTCTAGTCCTCTATCCAAATATCTCAGATTATGGTATTATTGTACCATATCTCGGCATCATGGTCTGCCCACGTGGTACCTCGGCTAACAACCTCGGCCACGTGGACTATCCAAAAATATGTCCCCACAACTGCCCCTTATGTTCTATTACCTCGGCAAACTGAGGTGATGGAACCTATACATGTACTCCTCTGACTGAGATCGTGACTTGTCGGCGCCAAGAAATAAGGACTCATATGTCCACTCGTCAAGAATCAAGAACCATCATGTTCTATCTCATCCATGTCCAACATCTCAACAGAGATCACATTACTAGCAGTGATCATGACTTGCTAGTTCGAGAACATCAAGATCCTAGTATCATCTTATCAGAAACCAAAAATAAACAAGTTCTGCCTTCATCCAATTTTAACATCTCAACCGAGATCAATATCTCAACTAAGATCGCACTTCTCAATCAAGATCATCATCAGACTAGAGCATACCAATCACGTCCCTATTGTGTCACATCAGTTCTGCCCCCCGCCGCTTGATGTCAGCGCGGAAACATCGGGAATCGAAATCATAACTTTTTGCCATCTTTTTCCAATTCTAGCAAAACCTTTTAATTTTCTCATTTCGTGTCTACTTGTGCCTTTAGACTCTCTTTCTCTTGGCCTCTGCAAACCATCATCGCTGTTCTTGAAGCATTCATTCCTATTACAGCTCTGGTCACCACTTCTGGCGTGTACTCAGTAGTTCTATTCCAATCATAACGTTGTTTGACTCCGGCAAATCCCTTTCCGGCATTTACTTTCTCGGCTTCACTTTGTAAGTCCTTGATTTCTTTTATTCTAACTTCAGTTCTCCACTGTTTTCAAATATATTCCTTCTGTGGATTGTTACACATCACACACGGTATCTGTATTTGCATCTACATTGCCATCTTGTATTCATATTCGAATCCCATTGTTCTACATGCCTTCGCTTGCTTTGACTCATATTTTGTCCTTTATGCTCTTGAGCCCATGTTCACATTTTTTCTGTATTTGACACATATCTTCTAGCACACTGTCATCGAATTCTATCAATTTTGTTCATTCCTTGAATCTATCAATGCTCTATTTTTCTCGTGTTCTCGAGTCTTTGATCAATGTTTCATGTTTTTTAGACCTGTTTTTTCTATCTGTTCTTGCTTGTTAGTAGATTACTGCCTCTGAATCCTGTACATTTGGATAGACATAGGTTTGGGA